ATACATTCCCAACTGAAATATTTCGTAAAAAATTCATCTCATTAATTTTAACAATGTTAGCATAAAACAGTAGTCCATTGATTGACCCTGTAGATACAGTGAGGTCAAAAGCAGTGATGAATGCAATTAGAATAATGCCAGCAAGAGCAAATGGAATAAGTAGAAATAATGAATAATTAGTACACTCACCACATCTATCAGAACCAAACATGAGACTAAGGCCTTCAGCACACTCTCCGCAAAGAAGACCAGATTTGTTAAGAGTACACTGCTTGTCTACACTTTCTAGTGTAAAGTTAACGTCACTTGTCTTACAATGATGCCCATAACTGCAGCCTGAATAAACAACAAAACAACTTTCTTTCTGCATATAACCCATCCATGTATCTCCTTCATGATAAAATGATTTGGTAACGGCATCACATGTAATATTGGCACCATATTTTATGTGTTTGTTGCAATCACACCTGAGAGACTTGTGGGACAGATTAAAACCAAATGGGCATTCCTGGATGTGAAAAAGGACTTTCTTTGCACTAGCTTTATGCCTCTCTATTGCAAATGTAAATGTTTGAGCTTTTGGCAACGTAGTATTTTTGGTGATCGTTGGTGTGTAATACATAGTAGTGCAGTTTTTTGATGCTGTCATTATTCTTTCAAATTCAATATTCTGTTCTTTTACGATGATATTGCCTGGTACAATCCCACCTCCTTCCCCAACTAGGACAACATCAATGCCCTTTGGCTGCCCTGGAAGTACAGAGACATTTAAACTTTCTACTGACTTATCTACAGTATTGTTATTACAGAAGTAAAGATACACAGGGTCAGATGAAATAACTGAAGACCCAGATTGATTGTAATATTCAAATATTGAATTAAATATATTTAAACCATTAATAACAATTATTTGGTTGTCACTTACTGTTACAATTTCACAACTCTCAGTATATCCACCATAAACAGCAGATCCAGCATCATTGGCAGTGTTTCCTTCAAATATCAATGAGAAATTATTACTAGAAATATCAATTTCCTGATCGTTTGGTTGTATAAAGCATGAATTTTGAACAAGGGATGATGTAGTATCAATATAGATTGCTCCTCCTTTACTAGTAGCTCTGTTGTGTCTAAATACTAACCTTGTTAATGACTTTAGATTCAATAGAATAATTGAGTCTCCTGAAAAAAATATTCCACCACCCACATGAGCTGAATTGTCAAAAACTATGTTGTAGCCTGATAATTTAACTACAGCATTCAGCAACATCAAACCAGATACAGAATTTTGAGCTATAAGAACATTCTCAAATGTAACTGTTGACTTGTGAATGCAAAAGGCACTCGGAACACTACTGCCAAAAGTACTGTGCATATCAGTAACATGAGTTTGACTGTGAGTGACATTTGTATTTTTTACTATGACACTAGCTCCAGGTAATTCAATGAATAAGTTGGCTCCATTGAATCCAATGTTGTTACTCATTACACAAGACTCTATTATCAAAGGATTATTGTTGCTGTAATTCATATTACCTCGGAGTGCCAAGCCAGCATTATTGGGTGCCTTATTGTGAAGGAAATGACTGTTAGAAATATGTAACGGAGAATTGGAAACTATGGGTTTATCCTGAAAGCAACTTTTAACATGATACGGGGGGAAACCAATCAAGATTGAGAAAATACTATGAGGCAAAATGTGTAACTCATCAACTATAGGCATTGGGTATATTTTGTTACCATAAAGGCTTTTACAGTTAGAAACTATGAGTGAGTGATATGAATATGCTTTGCTCACGAAATAACGAAAATTGCCTGATAAAATTCCCGTATTGCCATACAGCATAAGTGAATCCAATCTAACATCTACCCCATAATTATCACCTTGAATCATAACAAAAGAGAGACCACTAGCCGATTCTAGTGTAAACACTCCATTATCATAACCAAAAGAAAAGTTAGAATTGTACACATTGACCGAATAGACATTAAATTGATTTATACAATTTTCAAGAGATGTGTAGACTAGTAGCGCATTACCACCAACACAACTGTTGACAGTGCAGTTCTCATGACGTGCGAAATTATTACTCGCAAAAGATGAAAAGGATATATTAACATTTAGCGCATTAATACAAAATAGTCCATAGTTTGTTGAGTTTTGGACTGACACATCTTGTATTGTGATAGCGTTACTATGAA